TATCGAACAGCTCATCACGATCCAACTCTCGAATCAGCGGGAATGTGTTCTTCCATTCCGTCTCTAGATTGAAACGTGTCGCACGAAACGCATCTGCCTGAACGAATACGTCATCAAAACATCCAAATAAATGAATAAAAATAAATAAACATCTAAATTAGAGTTATATAAAAAAATTTAAAAAACATTTAAAAAACATAAATTAAAAAAACACAAAAAAACAAAAAACATTAAAAACAAATAAAAATGAAATAAACATACAAAAAACATATAAATAAACATTTAAAAAAACAACAATAAATTAAAAAAACATTAAAAACATTAAAAAAACAAAACATTAAAAATATAAATTCAAATCAGCAAAAAAAATTAATGAAGAATTCTTCAAAAAAAAAAACTTCTGAATCAAATAATATATTTGCAAAAAAAAAAACGAACGAACTTGCGACTCGATTGAATCTTTAACCATACGCCAGAAGCACTCCGACACTGCCAACGACATATTTCGAGTGGTCATTTGAGATGGCTTCAAGATACCGTCTCTGAAATCGATTGCGCACTTTAATACGCCTTATATCCGTTTAAATATCCATCAACTCTAACTCTGCCCATTAAAATCTACGTCTTTTTATAGCATTAAAAGGTACTCGAAAGATTAATAGTAAGTAAAACTCTCGAGATTTACGCTTAACGAGAATGCTACGAAGTAAAAACCAACTTAAAAAGCTTCGAATGCGCGAAGAATTGCTCTTCGTATTTGATGATCGACTCGATACTATCGGCCGATGAGCCTTTGCCAGTCACCACACCGTAATAACCGAGTGCTTTCATCGGGAACAATTTACCCTCTAATATCTTCTTGATACGATCCGGATTTGTCAAATTCTGCTCGGCTAAATCCACCTTAAACAATTCAATCGATTGTGATTAAATCTGAGCTAAACGAATAAAATAGAAAATATTTTGAAAATATTATACATAAAATAATATACTGTAATATATTACTTACTCTAAATTGTAATTAAAATATTGTTAAATAAGATAAAATATTCTATATGCAAAATATTTCATGTTCTTATCAGTGATATGTTACCAATGCGGTATTATAGTCTCACTGCCATCGTACGATAATAATTTTACATTTTTATTCTCGTTTGCCTGTTTTAAAATCTTCTCCACCTCCCCAGCAATAGATGGGGTGATATATCCTCTTATAACTACCTTTATTACTAAACCAAAAGCCAATGGGAATCGACATTTACCACTGAATCGTCATATTCGTTGCATATTATATTCCGTAGAATACTCATTAGAATTGCTTGAAATATCACTGTGATATGTTATAGCTGCGGTATTATAGTCCCAGTGCCTTTGTACGATAATATATTTAAATTGTTATTCTCGTTTGCCTTTTTAANATCATAATATTTAACAACTGCGGTATTATAGTCTCA